CCTCTATTCTTTTATTCATACTAAATCTTTGAAATTCAGTGTGTGTTTTATATTTACAGCATATCTCAATAGAGACTAGCCACATTTCAAGCACTCCCTAGCCACATGTGGCTAGTGGCTGCCATATTGGACAGCTCAACTCTAGACCAAAAATTAATTAGGACAGTCACACTGAGTCCTCTTTGTTTTATGTTAATGGTAGTACACCTAGGAGAGATTCTTATGTTGCTTATTCTTAGTAATTATAGGAATTATCCACACCTGATACTGTAGATGTTACACTATGGTATTTTATGCATGCTTTAAAAATTAATCAGTGAGAACAGAGAATGGGCATATGAATGACACATATTTTACTTATCAATGCAGGATAGAATTTTATAATATTTTTTCCCAGTTGGGGTTAATAAACCAAACGTTCTTTTTTTTTTTTTTTAAGAGATGGGGTCTTGCTGTGTTGCGCAGGCTGGTCTAGTGTTAAATCCCTGAACTCAAGCTTCAGTTTCCTGAGTAGCTGGGACTACCAGTATATACCACTGCACCCAGCATAGACCAAAAATTCATATGGTACAAAACAGACTTTTGTTTAACCAATTTTTTTTCTGTATTTTCTTTCCTTGTACTTGCTGTTCCCATTCTTAGCCAGATGTTCATGTGAAGTAGACTGAATTTGTCCAACATGTTGTTAGAAGTATCTCTTTTTTTTTTTTTTGAGACAGAGTCTCACTCTGTTGCCCGGGCTAGAGTGCTGTGGCGTCAGCCTAGCTCACAGCAACCTCAAACTCCTGGGCTCAAGCAATCCTCCTGCCTCAGCCTCCCAAGTAGCTGGAACAACAGGCATGCGCCACCATGCCCGGCTAATTTTTTCTATATATTTTTAGTTGTCTGATTAATTTCTTTCTATTTTTAGTAGAGACGGGGTCTCGCTCTTGCTCAGGCTGGTTTTGAACTCCTGAGCTCAAACAATCCGCCTGCCTCGGCCTCCCAGAGTGCTAGGATTACAGGCGTGAGCCACCACACCCAGCCGTTAGAAGTATCTTTGTTAGCTGCGATATCAAAGCAAGAATACAATCTCTTATTGTGTATAGAGTCAACTGGTAGAATTCCATTCCTGTAGTTTGTTTCTGATAGGTGATTTAACCCCCATGGGTTAGAATGAAACATAGCTTTCTGTCTGCAAACTGACAGCAGCAGAGTATTTTTTTCAGGAAAATGCATTAGTTGCCATTTGGATTGAAGACCCATGTCTCATTAGAACCTGTTTTGATTTTTAGAGAAGTAGGCAAAATACATTGTAAATGAGTGGGGCAGCCTTTAAGAAGGGAGAAGGTACCACTTTTAAGCATGCTTGGGTGGTTACTGTGTGGTAGCATGTTTGGTACCTTTTTTATTTTTGTTTTAATTCATGGTAGGACTTTGTATTGCTTGATATTTACTTACTCTTATTTTTCAGTATAATTAGACTGTATT